GCCCCTCCCGAAAAGGGATGGATACCCAATCGTCAATCGATGGAGAATGGAGACCGGTATGCGTGTCTTTTGGTTTCTCCAATCGATTCCCGTTGCTCGCATACCGCATATTGCCTCTTGCCCACCTCCATAATTTTCAGCCATCGTGGAGTATCTCTATTGGGCTGCTTGTTTGCTCGACCCGCCTCCAGGAGCTACTGACAAAATTACAGGGGCTGGCCCACTGGCTGGCTGAACTTTAAGCCAAGCCTGTCATGTAAACAATCCCCAGAAGAAGTCGCTTCTGTCATTGCTCCATGGACGGGCATGGGCATCTATTCTCAAACTCCTCGAGCTCTCAAAATTTCATGAGCTTCCAGAATTCCCCGTGCTTTAACCTCGGATCTCTCAGGCTTGACCATCCAGCGACTGCCACCTGGAAGATGAACCCTGAGAATTAACCTGTAATTCTTGAGTTCTCTACTCCGTACTAGTTGCTCTGTCAACAGCCCAAAGTCCCGATTCAAGCTCCATTTTCCAAGTTTTGAGACCTTCCAGGAAAAAGCAATGAGATCTATTCTGGTGGAGCCCTGACGAGTCCCAGCCCCAGACCCAGCCTTCCAAAGACGAGGTTCCCAGCCACAAGTTGTGAGACGTTCCAAAATGCACCCTCCCGGGTGGTGTCACATCATGATCAATGCGATATGGAGCTGCCGGTAAACTGATCGGAAGGTTCAGAAGAATCAACAGACAGGCCATGAAATCTCTCATCTCAGCCGTAATCACAAGTGACTCACTCAATACATGTGGACAAAAAACGGTCAAATTCTTTAGATTTCAAAATGGTCGAGCTCGCGAAACCAAGTAAATAGTATCGACTCCATATGGCCAATCCAAATAACTATATATGTGCATTAAATATCATCACCAAAAACTCTGGGCCAGTCGCCCGCAGACTATTAGTAAATTAACACTCGTCAAGAGCAGTTAGAAATAAGAATGTCAATGTGGTAAATAACAAGATGCATGGGTTTAAGGCTTCCAACCACGCAAAAAGATGAGGATGCAGAAGATGAAGTAAGAAGACCAAAAGCAAAGTTCAAGAACCGAGCAAAACCTCTCTATGGGGCAAAAACAAATAAATGATAGATAGATGGTATCATTGAGAACAGAACAAAATGCTCGCGAATCAATCGTAGCTCGAACTCTCTGATATTTTTCAAACGTGGAGCAGTTCTCCCCATAATATTGTGTTTCCAGAAAACAAAAGATCATACAATTCAGTGGCCATTGAATAAACGTACCCAATGAATCGAGAAACCGAATAAAAAAAATAGGGTGGAGTAGTTTGTCTGTTAATTTTTGTTGTGCGGGTGGTAGTATCCTTTGAAAGACAACTTCGAAGAACGAAATATAAATTTCTAAAAAGGAAGATAAACGAATTGAAGAATAATGAAAATAACAAAAAGGCAGGTTCGGGGAAGACGTGTTCACAATGAAATTTGTTTGCCCCAAAAAGATAGGAGTAATTGTATATTAAAGAGGAAAAGAAGGCGATATTTTGTCGGTAGAAATAAATCGTGAAATCGTGAACATGGCAACATGGCTGGATCTCGGTTAAGGCTAGCAGCGTCAAAAAGCAAGCAAGGACAAAAGTTCAATCTGTTGAACTTATTCCGAACGCCTTTTTGAGAAGCGAAAGCTTCTTCCTCTTTTTCTTTTCGTCCAGTCCTCCAAGACCTGCATCCGGCTTTGAGGAACCGGATGAGTCCTCGCTAATGGTACTACTGTGCGTACCGCGTCGATTGTGCAATCGTGGGCGGAAACGAGATGTCCAGTTGGATGACGACTCTGGTGTCACTAGTAGAGGTGGACCCGAAATTGAGACGCAGGAGGTGGTGGTGGTGCCGTTATTTGTCGCGATGTCGTTAGCAGTATTTGGACGTTCTGAATCTGATTCGCCTTTTTCAGGAATGGGTGAAATGAGGCTGCCTATTACAACAGGAGAGTTCGTATGGGAGCTCAAAGGCCATGAACCTGATCCCACTAGTTGGATAGGACCTTTTTCCACAGTAGCCTCTTTTAGAGAATGAGGGTCGTTTGTTTTAGCACCGGATGAGGGTGAATTGCTGCGGCCGTTCCTTGACGATCTTGAACCCCTATTCCGCCAGAGCTCGAAGTGGGAGCGTTCAAGCGGGCTATCACGTCTCGCAGCGCTATCCAGCTCAGACTTTCGGATTATTGTATCGTCACTGCCCCTATACTTTGAGCGACCAAGCCTGCTAAAAATACTGCCTTGCCTCTTAGGAAGTTGGGGGGAAAACGCTCCAGGTTCATTTGGAACGATACTGGTGGGTTCATCAGTGACATCTGTAGCTCTGGTGCCGTTTGTTATAGTGTCAAGGCTAGGGACCGGTTTCGGCTGGCCCATGCTTGGACGCCTTAGCACTCTTTTTGGTATTTCTTCGTCGGAGCTATCTTCGAGATCTGTAGAATCCCCGTCAACACCATCCTTTCGTTTGGGGATACCGCGAACAGGACTGAAGCTCATGGGAACTACATCATCGTCACTCGAATCTTCAAAGCGGCTACGGAAAGGGGGAGGAAACCCGACGTCATCATCATTACTGTGTGAAAACGAAAATTTGGATTTAGCTCCTGTGTTCAACCCAGATGGAGCTCTCTTGGGTTTCGACGACCTTCCAAAGTTGGCAAATGAAGATTTGGTGTCCAATCCGCCTTTTAGTCCGCGTAGCGTCGTCCGAATTGGCAAGTTGTGATCTGAAGAAAACGGTCTCTGCTGGCTGGTGGGCAAAGTTGAACGACCACCAATGCCGATAGAATACCCACCAGAGGAATATGGCCGGGCGTCAGAGGGACCCCTCAGCGTGCGTTTCAATGTATAACGTGTGGCACCCCGTGGTGAACGTCTGGCACGCTTGAAGCTGCTTGAAGAATCGCTATCATATGCCGTAGATTGCGCGAGGCCTTTTGAAGCGAATCC